GCGAGTCCTGTCAAGTCTTGCAAGATTTATTGACTAGTGAGGGGCCATTCCATTCTGTTTCTCATAACTGCGAGGACCTCTATCGTAATGCTGAACCCTGTGACTTGTCCTGGATGTTGCAGTCTCCACCGCCAGGACAAGTCCACAGGGTCCGATATTCAACATTGCAATATACTTGCATTCACGATATAAACTTTCGCTATCACTGGTCTTTATATATCAGGCTCATTGCCACCCACAACGAAGATGGTACGTCGTGTTTGCTTGTGATGAAAGATCAAATTGATTTATGAGGTTGCTGGTCAGCCCATCAGACGAATCACGATGCTTTTCGGCGTGTGATAACGAGGTTCAGAAAATTTTGATTGCTTGGGAAGTCTAAAAATGTAACTATATAGCAGGGCATGTTGCGCTGATCAGAAGTGGCGAATGATTATACTTTGTAGCATCTATTCCTGGGTACCCCTAGTAGCAAGTTTGTGCTTTCTAATTTGTACCCGATCGTTGTGCTCAACTGCACGTGCACACCCCTCCCAATCACAACTGCATTTCTTGTATGTTGCCTCCGACTGAGTAGGATTCCAGTGACGTGCTCCTCGACTCGTTCGATCTCGATGTTTGAATATGTGCATGAATTTTGCGCGCTATTGATGTGGCCATCCTGCGAGTTAAAAGGAGAGTCGCTGTGAATCAATCATTTGCATAGATACGAAGTAATGACACATACATAGCAGGTATGCGAATGTCAGATTGTGACATGCATCATGAGTGTCTATCATAAGAGTGTCTCATTGATGAGGCACTGTCGCATAGGTGACGCACTTATGGATGGAGGCAGATGTGTAGTAAAGGCTGCATGAAAGAGTGAAAGAAACAAATCACCACTCTACTTTGGTCGTCCTACTGGGGGCAACAAAAGCACGCATGGTGATGTCGGCATGATTCTCCACCTACCGGTAAAAAGCATCATCAGAACATCTGAGTCTCCGCGCTGTATCAGCGAACCAGCAACAATGATCAAATACCAGTGCTACTGGTATGCAGTTACAGTGCAAGTTCTCCTCGTATAAATGATACGCGGTGTGTGTCAATTTGGCGCCCAAAGATGGTTATAGATGCCTCAAGCGCACCAGAAGAGGGTGAAAAGACAGCATCGCACTACTGATCCTTTCCATTTAGAGTGTTCTACGAGAACAGGATCTCACGGAAACTTGTATGGGATGCATCATGAGTTGAACTGCACGATCCGAAGAGCGATTATTCCACTGACCTAAATGTGATACGAGCATCTTGTGTACAATGAATTAAGAACCATCATCGTCTGAAACAAGCGGGAGAGTATTGTATACTGCATGATGCGAGTCACGATGTCGGGGTCATGTGTGATGTAGGCTGTGGAATAGGTCAGTGGGATGCTCTGACATGAACAGACAAAGGAGCATAGCCGGGGGATCACTGATGCTCGGTCTTGCTTTTAAGGTCAAGACAAATTGATAAGGGCTTAAACACGTGTTGGGGCAAATATGGCAGCTGATTGGTCGACCGGTTGCTCACCCGTACATGTTGATTGAAACGACAGTGAGTTCATTGTAACCATGTACCAAAATGCGAAGTTCCTTACTGGGTGAGCAGCGCACGGAAGTTCAACTATCTCGCCACCATCCTGGACCATTTTGAACTTCGATTGTGCAACGCGCCCCAGAAGCCCCCCGGATTCGACAGCGGATGTCCATAAGCACGTATGCAGCGGTAGATGTTTGGCATCTATGGATATAGATAAGACGTTCGGGGGATCACCCTTGATCAAGCTCGTGCACCTCCATCAACCCTCCATCTCGCATCAGATTTCACTGATATGTACTATTGGCGTGATCACTCATCTATCAGCGTATCCAGTCAAAAGGGGTCTTGCTGACTAGGTACTGGTAGAAAGGTGTCGTTGAGATCCGAACGTCCGGGGTATGCTACTGAATAGCGATTATGAGTGCACTGCACACGAGACACAGGTATGCATTCCATATTCTGTAATGAGGTTGATTCAGCAGCCATCTTGATCGGTGCAAGTCAAGGGAGTCCGCATCTGGAATGATGCTTTGACTCAATATGACCCATTTCCGACGACCGATTTTCGTTCAACTGTCGTGCATCACTGTAGCAGCGTCATGATCAAACTCTTCAATGTGTAACCAGGAGACAACGGACATACCACATGTCACAAACAAAATCAAAGGTATGTCGCGGACCTTATTGATTTATTCCAGACGTCATCATCATACTGAAGTCGCAACGGGTCTATATGCAATCACAGCTGAATTAATGTAACGATATGATATCATTTGGGATAGAACGAGGTTCAAAATTTACGGACTGGGACGTGAAAATGAAGCGGCTGCAATACAGCGAACTGTCGACTATCGCAATAAAGCGAAGCGACTTCGTCCTAAGGTGGTATTTGCGAAGTAGTGATACTCACCATGACTGCCTTTGGAACCAACTCCGCCCCGGGTGCTGATACTATATCCTGTAGACTGGAAGAAACGTGCGGAGTAGAGGGAGTGCAGCACCATTAACCTGAACGTAGTTCTTACGTATAGGAAGATGGACACAGTACCGGACGCAGATCTGAGTGCTCGATCTACACAGCAATAAGCTGTGAAGCGAACACGAGGATGACGCATGGGACCCACCTCTTGAACGAACGAGTGTCCAACTTCCTCGACTCCCAACCAGACGCCCTCTGATCACCGGGGATTGAGTACTAGGTTCGTCTAGACAGTGCTTCACGTAAGTGATACTCTAGGCTCTTCTGTAGGTTTAAACTCACCACTTGCTTACCAGCGACTTATAAGAATCTCTTGTACATTCTCGAACAACAGCGTAGTAGCTGCTGCATATACAGTCCCGAAGTTGTTTTCTAGGTAAGGGCTGGATTCCTGTAAGTGGACTGTCTCATTAGCAATGGCTGGTGTGCTTCTGACAAGTGATTTACAGACAGAGGATAGGCCCCTGAACTCACCAGGAATTATCACCATTGCCGGATAACACAGTTTGATTCCAAGATCCCAGCAGAAATCATCGTCCCCGTTCTGCCGTAGTTGAGACTCCGAGGGCCGATCATGTCTTCCTCCTCTGGTGAGATGTCAGAGGTAATGCCTCGCCGGATGATGCAAGGTCATACTGACTGGGTACATGGTGTTGTACATCTGCACGGCGGATGTCACATCATCACATGTTCGGCAGACGGCTCACCCCGACTATTGGACATAGAGAACGGTAGGCTCGATACTAACCTGGCTTGTATAACCACGGACAAGTCGAGTGGCGTAGCCAGGCTGGTCGATCTCGGAGAGATTTGGCAGGCGAAGCACGGAGTTTGAAAATGTGCAAGTGCCGGTTATGCCGGTCGAAGTAATAGTGCCACATAGTTACAGTTAACTATCAATCGCACACAAACTTTCATTCGCGCACTGCATAGAGTACCGCATCTTTCTCGATTTGCGCTGCAGCACTAAAATTGAAATAGGATCCCACAAATGATACCATTTGCTCCATATTATCCACCACCACTGCAGTATGCTCTGCCGTCTGAATCTTTAGCATGGACAGTGGACCCTCGCAGCCTCGACACAGGAAAAAATTCTCTCTTTGCTGAAAATGCTCCGTGGCATGCGGATGACAGCTACGGACCTCCTGCTGTATACCATCTCAGACAAACCTAGCATGGCCACTTGGAGGGATGGATTTTTCCGAAGTAATGCACCCGCACAGTTTCAGCACGGAGGATCACATTTCTTCCTGCCAGTAAAGATACGAGAGCCTTGGGTTGAAATAACTTCGGATGTTTGGTGCCTTTCGAGACGAAATCAAGGTGCGCGAAGGCTTCGAGTACTTGCTGGAACTGTATGGTTGAAAGCGTGTTTGTAAAGTCCGTTGGAAGGTTGTTGAGAGCATTCAAAGCAGATATGGACATGAGCAATACGGAATCAATGTTAAAACTCATGATTTGGGCCGGTCATAACATAGAGATGTAGCAATATAGCAGTGTCTATATGATATGATGGACGACGACACGGCGTCGGCACAAACGGCACCTGCAATTTTCAAACTCCGTGCTTCGCCTGCCAAATTTCTCCGAGATCGACCAGTCTGACTACGTCAAGATTTCCCACTCTCAAAGGACGTACGTCAAACTGGTCACGAGTCTAAGAGAACGGCACACAGATAGGCGAGGACTGGTGAGATGAGAATGACAGAGGTGTGGTCCATGGCATTGTCTTCAAACAGCAAGACAGTCGCAAGTGGATGCTATGACGGGAAAGTGAAGTTACGTCACGTGGACAGGACACACCCGTATTGTGTGTGCATTGTGTTGGAGTAAAAACGGCAATCAAGTGATGAGCGGATCGTCGGATGGGACGGCACTGAGAGTCTGGGATATCAAGCTATATCAAGAGTGGCACAATGACACTGTCCCGACAATCAAAACCGGGCACAAGTGGGTGCAGCGATATACTTGCCCGGTGCAACAAAAATTGCGACGGGTGGACGCAACGAGGATACAGTCAAAATCTGGGGTGCAAAGACGGGCGAGCTGCTTAACACCGTGACGCTCACACACCGTGATCAAGTTTGGAGCTTGGCCCGGAATGGAAAAAAAAACTTATCTCTGGTTCATATGGCCTTATCAGGATATTCGACACAGCCACCTGGCAATGCCTCCTTGCAAGTGCATCACTCGATCTCACAGCGCGTCTATGGAACCTCGACACGAACTTCCAAGTCGGACCACCTCTCAGGCAAGAAAATCCCGCGCGCTGTGCAGCCTTTTCCTTTGATGGAAAAGAGTTAGTTACTGGTTGCGAAAACAGTAACGCGTATACATGGAACATCCATGCCATCCTCGAAGAAGCTGGCCTCGAAGACCTCCAATGTTTACCTGATATAAAGCTTATGGTTCTTCAGTCAAAACTACGCTAATCTCCCCTTCACATATCACAGCTCAAGAGTCATTAATGGATGTACGTGATTTGTTTCTCAGCCTTCCCAATGGTTACAACCTTGATATTTTGTGTAGGCGGATGCTACGCAAGCCGAAGACGATGAACCTTCGCCAGGCTTTTTCAGCGACGTGATAGATGGTCCTTATGTGCGTCATCAGTGTTTTTAAATGACTCCTGTTCTGACCTCTTGGTCTCAGTCCTCCAGAACATACGGTAATTATTACCGTTCCTCTGCCCGCCGTCCCCGCCCTCTTGTACCCTCTTTTGAGACTGCAAATATGCTCTTTGACCGCCTTTCATCGCCTTTCCGCTGTTCTCACCACACTGGCACAGATGATGCAACCGAACTCCAGCAACGCCCAAGGCGGTCCATCTTCTCTCGTGATCCTCGTATCGTTGGGGTTGCCGCAGTCAAGGACAGAGAGGTATGTATTTCTTCGCATGCATTTCCCATCATCGTGGTTTAATGATTGGTGTCCAGGTCATATTTACTGCTCCGCCGCCGCCACGAAGAACACAGCAGCGAACCCAGTCGCAAGGCCAAGGATCGTTCACTACCCCCCTGCTCCAGGTAATCCTACTACACCACGTCCAAGACATCCGCATTCACTACCTGTCCGGCTGTTGGCTCATCTCATACTTTTTCTCTGCTGCGCATCTCCTCAACACGCCAATGGAAATGGACGACCAACACAACAGCAGCCAGGCCAACCACAAGGTCAATCCCAGGTCCAGACGTCACCATCGCGGACGCAGCTTGCCGCCCCGCGACACCTGCTGCTCTTGATAGTACTCATACTACCGCGACAGGTGCAATAAGCGTGTAGTCACGGCCCCTTCTATTGCAGACTCATTTCGTTCCCCTTTCTCTCCTGTGTATCTCCCCCGTATGCATATGGGCATCAACATCATAGCATATAGACACTTATCTTATCTTGGTTCCTTTTCGATCAATGTTTGCACCAAGAGTATACGTATCTGATGCCACAACACCCTTAACCTCAGGTCGGTTCTAACGCTATGCCGTGAAGCCTTGATCTCAATGCCAAGCAGTCACTGGAAATATATCTATATCCTGGCTGCAGATGACAATAAGCTAATAAGCAATGTCGAGACTTGATGAAGAGAAAACAAAGTAGCCCGTAGAAGCCCTCCTCTAGCGAGTCGGGGACTCAGGTATTCTCTTCAAGTTCTCCGTCTGAACACCAGGGGAAGGCGGGTTGGTCTAAACAGCCATCAACATTTCATCTCACTGGAGCAAAAGTTCAACTTACGCCAGAGTGAGTATACTTCGTGCGTCAAGTACTCTAGCCTTGCGCTGCTCATATGTTTCGCCAACAAATTGCGGCTCGTCCTTGATCGAAATGATATATCGTGAAATTAAAATAGTGAGAACAGCTGCTCCCTCGGCTTCCGCAAACCTGAATGAATTCAAATGGGTGACCAAGAATAATGAAAACAGGCTCACTTTCTTCCTACACACCCTCTATAACCTATTGGTATGGGCATCTTCAAGCTCGTTCCGAGAAAGATGTTAAGATACTTACCACCACTGAAGGCAAAGAATGCATCTCGGTTCCAGTCACCCAAGAATCGTTCGGGTTTAAACGTGAATGGATCTTCCCAGTACTTAGCTGCAATCATGCGCCAGGTTAGTATTGCGTCTCTTTGCATCTAGCAAGTATCTTACGATTATAGTGAAGCCCAGGCACGTCCAGTGTGAGATCCAACCCTTTAGGCACAACGACTGTTTTCAATGTCCCATTCGCATCTGTGAGAGTGAAGGTCGTATCTTCTGCACTTGTCTTTGGCACAATGCAAACCTGCACCTGAAGTTAACAAGACCGCTCAGAGACATTCGCTCCACCAACATACAGGGGGGAACATTCGCAGTGCTTCGTTGAACACGCTGCCACGATGTCAGCCCGTAACACTTTCAATTTAGAGGCAAACTGACGCAGAAGGGTAGGCTAATGACGGCATATCATCATAAGTCTGTCAAAAACATCGTGAGCCTGGCTGTACAGCTGTCTGTAATTCAAGGGGTCCGTACAGGAATTCTTCCGTCAGGCAGTACGCGCTTGATGTGTTGGTACATTTCTTCTTGCTTATCAGGATGTAAAGCCAATAGTGCGAACGCAAAAGAAAGCGCATGGGCTGTCGTCTGTGAGTTGTCAGCGTGAGGCAAAAGTGTGGAGGGGATGTAGTACCTCGTGTCCTGCAACCAAGAATATGAAGATATTGCCTGTCGGACAATGTTGCCATGTTCTGCTAAATAATCTGAAATTGTGGCTTACCGATTAATTCGCTGTCGCTTAGCTTTACTTCACTCTTCGACAAGTTGTTACTGTCATTTGCTGACAACAAACTAGATAATAGGTCGTTATTATCTTCGTACTGGGATCCACGCCGTTCATGAATCATCTCCTTAAGGTATTGCTACAAAAGATAGTCATTAAACATGTCAAGTGGTCAGCCACAATTATGGTACATACATGCAATTCATCGAAGGCAAGCCTTGCACGCCTGAAACGTTTAGTAAGTCCCATGGCCCATCTAGGTACTAATAATTTAATGGTGAGGTCCTGTGTCACTGTGCGGAGAGCATCTTTGAGGGTCAGCTGATGTCCAAGTGTGACTACAGTGTCCTCTTTCCAAGATATAGGACGACCAAAACCTATAGTGAGTTCTCTATACCGACAGCTTCTTATTGATAATGCTGATCATGCTCACCTGCAGCCCCGATCACGAACAGAGCGATCTAGTGATCCGAATGAAATTAAAGAAGTGCAGAAGTGGCATCAAGAGCTCTTACTGGAAAAGTCAAATCTACAGAGTGATCGACAACCACTTCTTCTTGTCCAGCCCACATTGTATCAAAAAGATCAAGCATGATCTGTATCGTTGCATCCCAGACCAGTCTATTATTCCTCTTCAAGTTGTAAGTTAGGACAGCTCCATTATACGCATGGACATCAGTTACTCACTTCTGAAAACGCAGGTGCAACAATCTTGCGGTAACGCTTCCACTCGTTGCCTTCGGAAACAATGATATTTTCACCAAAGAATGTTAATATGGTGTATTTGCCAAGAGGTTTTGGGAAGCGTTCTCCACGAGACCAAACAATGTCCTTGAAACGATTAGTCAATTTGTCAGGCTTTCAAGGTCGAAACAGGCGGACATACTTTAATCACATTGACGTCCGCTATCAACAATGATCCCACTGCTTTCGGCCACCATGCCGCCTGAAACCATTGGCTTCTGATGCACCACGGTATTACAAGCAACTTACAGTGGAAATTATATCGAGGCCCTTCTCCGCGAAGGCTTGAGAAATTTACGTTGACCATGGAAAATGAACCAACACGAAAAACATTCAACGTACGGCCATGCTTCGACAGCCAAGAATGATCATGACCTAAGGTCAACAAGGGGGTCGGGGGAAACAAGTTTCCGAGCACAGTTGAGGAACCAAGAATTGTTCTGTATCCTGGAAGATGACTATGCAGAATAATTAGTTCTATGTAAGCAATTCAATAAAGCTGGCTAACTCACTGAATGCTTGCCAATAGTCGACGGAAATCCACGAAGAGCTGCAATGCGTGTAGTGCAGCTACCGAACCCACCAATATTGAAAGGGTCTCCAACGACAGACCAGTGACAATCATGCTTGCAGGGGGTTGGAAATGGAGATGTAGTGAGCACACAACGGGCTATTCCGCTCACTTGCAGCTCCATCATATACACAGGATGCTCAACCAATTTCAAATCCTGTTATTTTTGGACTATCGTTATTATCGCGGGTAAATCGCTGGGCAGCTCAGACCATACTCTCTTCCGACGGATGACAAGCATCATTGTGGAAGTCTGAATAGATCCTGTGATATATCAAGGCAAGTTGAGAACTGCAGGCACTTGGGCAAATGCCGCCGGGACATATGGATCAATTCTGTCGACAGGTGTGTGTGCCAGGATCAAGAGTTCGAGTGACCCATAAAAGGACAGTAGGTTTTCTGCTGGCTGAACTCGTGGCTACTGTCTATAGGATACCATTTCCGCAATACAAGCTCTAGTTGATACGATGATGGATTCGAGGATCGCATTGACGTCTCTCAAAGACCGTGTCGATGCTCCGGTCGTGCGAAACGAAACACGAAGGTTTCAATGAGATGTAAATGTCTGATGGAGATGTGCATTTGACAGGGAAGGATGATGGTAACACCAACCATACATCCTTCAACTGCTCGATGTGAACGGGGACTTCTTTAGAAAACAAACAAGTCCATCCTGGAGATAGGCGCTGCCCCATAACCTGCAAACGTGCTGGAAGAGTTGATGACATCGAGTTCAAAACAAACCAGATGAGACGTGCAGAGTGGGTAGAGAGTGCAGCACCTTGTGGAATGTGTGTCACAACCATCGATGCAGTCCTTACGTATAGGAGGATGCACATAGCAGCGGTCGCAGACTTGAGCGCTGAGGCGTTTGATCTACACAGCAATAAGCTGTGAAATTAACACGAGGATGACGCATGGGACGCACCTTAAAGACGCTTGAACGAACGGGTGCTCAACTTCCTCGACTACCAACCAGACACCCTCCAAGTCTGATCGCTGGTGATTGAGGGTTCGTTTAAACGGTGCTGCTCGTAAGTGATACTCTAGGCTTTTTTGCAGGATTCAGCTGACAACATGTTTACCAGCAACTTCAGATACTCGCAAAGATCTCTTGCACATTCTAATTTCTCAAATAACGGCGTAGAACCTCCTCCATAGACAGTCCCGGAGTTAGCTTCTGGGTGGGGACTATATCCTGTAAGTGGGCTGTCTTGTTAAAAATGGCTTATGTACCCTGACAAGAATCAAAGGTAAAGAAGATAGGCCCCCAGACTCACCAGCAATCGTGTCGCTTCCGGATAACCCAGTCTGATTCGCAGACTCCTTTCGCATACATAGTCCCCAATCTGCCGTAGTTGAGACACTGAACTCTGATCATGTCATCTTCCACCAGTGAGATGCCAGCGATCACGCCACATCTAACGTTTCGAGGCCATACTAATAAAGTACACGGTGTCGTCCACCTGCCTGGCGGACGACGGATCATTACATGTTCGTTGGACGGCTCACTCCGACTATGGGACTTAGAGAGCGGTACACAGATAGGTGAGGACTGGCGAGATGATGATAACGCAGGAGAGTGGTCCATAGCATTGTCTCCAAATGGCAAGACAATTGCAAGTGTAAGTAACGACAGGAAAGTGAAGTTATGGGACGTCGAGACGAGGAAGGTTATCACCAAATGGGCAGGACACACCGATCTTGTGGGTGCATTGTGCTGGAGTGCAGATGGTAATCAGGTGCTGAGCGGATCCTGGGATGGAACGGCAAGAGTCTGGAATGTCGAGAGTGACAAACCTATCATGACGATCAAAACCGGGCATGAGTGGGTAAACGCGGTGATTTACTCACCTGATACAACAAAAATCGCAACGGGCGGATGGGACGAAAATGCAGTCAAAATCTGGGATGCAAAGACGGGCGAGTTGTTCAAGAGGCTCGAACACCATAATCAAGTTTGGAGCTTGACTTGGACCTCAGACGAGAAGAAACTTATCACAGGTTCATATGGCCTGATTAGGATATTCGACACAGCCACTTGGAAACAGATCGCTGTCCTTGAGGGTCATACATCCCTTGTCTACAGCATCACCCTGTCTGGGAATGAACGCCTCCTTGCAAGTGCATCTGCCGATAAAACAGGGCGTCTATGGAATCTTGACACCAACCTTCCAGTCGGACCGCCCCTCCAGCACAAGGATAAATTGGAGTGCGCAACCCTTTCCCCTGATGGAAAGGTGTTAGTCACTGGCTGCCACAACAAAAACGCGTACACATGGGATATTCATGCTATCCTCAAAGAAGCTGGCCTCGAAGACCTCCTCCAACCTTTATCTGATGTAAATTTCACAGTTCTTCAGTCAAAACTACGCTAATCTCCCCCTCGCAGGTTGCAGCTCGAGGGTCGTTAATAGACGTACGTGATCTATTTTTTAACTTTCCCAGTGGTTATAACCTTGATATTTTATGCAGGTGGATGCTACGCAGGCTGAGGATGATGAACTTTCGCCAGGCTTCTTCAACGACGTGACGTATGGTGCTCAGGTGTGTCATCAGCGTTTTTAATTGGTCCCTGTTCTGACCTCTTGATCTCAGCCCTCCAGAATGTATGGTAACTATCATCGTTCCTCTGCCTTCCATTCCCGCCCTCTCCCATCCTCTTTGGGAAGTGCGAGTGCGCTCCTTGGTCGCCTCTGGTTGCCTTTCCGCCACTCTTACCGCAAGACTGGTGATGCGACCGAACTCCAGCAACGCCCAAGGCGGTCCTTTATCCCTCGTGGTCCTTGTATCGTCGAAGTCGCTGCAGTCAAAGACAGAGAGGTATACATTTCTTTGCGTGCATTTCCAATCACCGTGGTTTAATGATTTCTGTCCAGGTTATATTTACCGCTCCACCGCCGCCACAAAAAACACAGCAGCAAACCCAATCACACACCCAGGGGTCGTCTACGACACAGCCCGCTCTAGATACTAATCCTATTACATCACGTCCAAGACATCCCCATTCGCTGCCCGTCCGGTTGTTGGCTCATCTCGTGCTTTTTCTCTGCTGCGCATCTCAACACGCCGACGCCAATACGCAATCAACACAACAGCAGCAAGGCCAACCGCAAGGTCAATCCCATGCTCAGGCGTCTTCATCACAAACTCGGCCCGCCGCCCCCTCGACATCCGCAACACCTATTGTTCTTGATACTCGTAGTACCGCTCCAGTTGGGGCAAGCGTGTAGCCACGGTTCCATTGCAGACTCGTCTCGTTCTTTTTTTCTGTTGTGCATCTACCCACATGCAGATGATTAATACTACAGCATATGGACAGTTATCTCCTCTTTGCATCTGGTTCGTTTGTAATTATTATCGTCTCACTGTTCATGCAGAGTGTCTATTTCAGTTCACAACCTCCTCGATCTCGCCTTAGCTTCAACACTATGCCGTAAAGCCTTGATTTTTATCTCAAGCAGTCGCTAGAAACTGACCTGGCCGCAAATTATGTTGCTGCATGTCTCGTTCACTACTCTTCCCGTGTATATCTATTCCTCAGGTACCTGGTGGCAAGTATGTACATCCTGCCTTGGACTTGATCGATCGCACAACTGTACAAGCACTCTTCCAACCGCATCTACAGTACTGATACACACTTAAGCTCCTAGTTAGTCTTCCAGGTGACGTTGTAGAATTGAGCCTCTGACGAGCAAGATGTTTCCATTCAATGATGAAAGGTCCGGTGGCCAAGGTCAAATGTAAATTGCAGAGAAGAAAGATGGAGCCCAAAAACTACACGACATACTGTCTGGACACATTTACGAGATTGCTCGTGAGATTGGGAATCTGAGAAACAAGCGATAGGCGTCGGTGCAAACCCGTGTTCTTGATGTGTGCTAATTGGACGCTAGACCACTCTAATCCACGCAAGAGATTGAGAAAGAGCTGATCATACTATTGGGAAATGAACGTGTGTAGGACTGCTTGCTAGACTTGGTATTCTTTGACGGGAGGCCATCTTGGCCTTCGAAAGGGAGTTGAGCAAGCACGTAGATCGTCACGGTCGATATCGTCATGGGGTGGTGTGACAAGTTTTCACCTGCATTCGGCAGAGAAACTGGACACGATATATGCTATTCAACCTGGACTCAGTGTAATACTTGAATGGCCATCAGTATTCAACAACGCCTCAAAGTACAATTCCACAAAAAAGGTGAAACAACAGCACTGGTACTCACTGGATGTACTTGGTAGTAAACAATAAAGCCCTGGGTGACGACATGCTGTACAGCATGCAAGCATCCGGAAATGTTAGCACTGGAGTTCGAACATGGGCTGGAAGAAATATGCGGAGTGAAGAAAAAGTGATGCACGAGTTGTTGAATGCTTGTTATAGATATCGATGTAGTCCGTCCAATGATAAAAGGCCCGGTGACCGAGGTCAAATGTAAATCGTAAACGATTGGGCAACAACAAATCATTTGATATGTTGACGTGATGTCTGATAATTGACGCAATAGGAAACGGAATATAAGATCGTTTCGTGAAATTGGGCTAGACACGATCTGAGAAACGAGCGATAAACGTCGGCGCAGACCTGTGTGCTTGACATGTACCCTAATTGGGCCGCTGGACTCTGTAATCCACTAAAGAGATCGAGAAAGTGTTGATCATGATTTTAATTCACTGGGAAATGAGCTGCTTGCGAAAGTCGGACTTGGTGATGAGTATTCTCTGATGGGAGGTCATTTTGGCCTTCGAAAGAGGGTTAAGCAAGCACGTAGATTGTCGTGGTCGATGCGCTGATGTGATACGTTTTCACTTAAATTCGGCAGAGAAACCGGACAAACTATTTGCTATTCAACCTGGACTCAGTGTAACATTTGAACCGTTATCAGCGTCCAGTCACGCCTCAAAGTACAAAAAAGCGGTGAAATGACAGCACTCACTGGATGGTAGGCGACCATAGAATTAGTGGAACAGTGTTAGGTGGTAGGGAAAGCAGTGAAGTGCCATATTTTTAAAGATATGCATGCATCATACCGTATCGTCATAATATCCATGGTGACCACGCGCAGAGCATGCGACAATGCAGGATTAGCAAGTGGAGGTGGATATCAGTTTACTCTTCTTCCTCCTCTTCCTCCTCCTCTTCGCCTTCCTCCTCTTCCTCCTCCTCCTCCTTGGCAGCCTCGACGACAGCAGTTGCAATACGGTCCAAATCCCGCTGGCCGTCTTGGCTTATCCGTCGTCCACCATTGTCGGTCTGCTCCAAGACACCGATCTTCTCTAGCGATTGACAGACTTTTCTTTGGACGGAGGCAGAGGAGTCGGCGTGGTGTGATGGGCGGTTGCCGCGTCTGTTGCGGCCACCATGGAGTTTTGTCAACGCACCAATACCGACGTCTTTACGGAGGTAGATGTGTCGTGCAACAGCAGCTGATGATGATCGCTCTTTAAATTTGTTCCCTGATCAAGGGTACTGAACGCAACGCACCTGCACGGACGTAGTACCAGTCTGGATCATAAGGTGCGAGTTCCTTGAAAGACCCGGTTTTAACGATGTCGACCCATGTAGGGACCTCAAGCTTCCCCGACCGCTTAAGATGGGAAGCATATGCAACAATGAAAGCCTCGGCGCTGCAAGTGACATCCACGCTTAATTCATGGGTCGATTTGATATAAGTTAATGGCATACCTAATATCTCTTACTCCTGGCATATTGGATAGTGGGAAAGACGACCGTGAATAACCTTGAGGAAAGTAACGCGGAACGTTTCGCGCGACGGTTGGCGGTTTGTGTACGACTCTGGGAATTAGAGTTCAGTACTGAGTTCAAATTCAGCCACCGCTGTGCAGTTTTGAGATTAGTCAGCAAGTCTGCTGCATTCGCATCTACGATGAGAAACACTCGAATCAACTTTCAGCTAGACTCGACACATTGATCATGATGGATGATGGTCGATATCGATAGAAGGCCGACAGAAGATTGAAGATTGAGCAGCTCGCTATCCAACGACATGATTTGCCATTATTTTCATCTCAGAAGATGATCAATGTAGGCGTGTCGCTCGCAAATCGAATATTTCTGCACACGTTTGGGTGCACG